ATATTTATAACTCTTTTAGAACATAAAATTATTTTCATTATTTTTGGTATAAACTATTACGCAGTTAATTAAAAAACTTCTAGAGAGTTCTACGATAAGACGCGCTGTGATTGGTCGATTTTTTGGTATATAATAAAAGTTGTTTATATTACTTGTTATCAAAACGACATTCTATACAAACATATTGAGAGTTATAAATATGCTAAATAACTATATTAATACACGTTTTCAGTCAGTTTTCTTGGTAATTTCACTATTAATACATAAAACAATATTCTTTATCATTTTGTTTCTTAAGGTTGTTAGGCCGTCGCGAACAGTTATCTAAAAATAAAAATTGCTATGAAAATCAGATACCTATGCACCTATCTAAAAAATAATAATATTAAGTAATATAAATAATAATTATAAATAATAATAATAATAAGGTTAATTTAACACCTTTATTAATAACATTTGTTAATAACAAACAAACAATGTTAAAAAATTCATAAATGAATGTTTATAATTTATTTTATTTATTCCCACAAACAAGATTTTTATCAATATGTTATTCAACCTCACTCATGTCACATTATATTAATAACTTATTCCATAATGTACCATTGTTGAAAAGTAAAATGAAGTAAATACCTTTTGTATTAGATGTAATTGTATGAGGTTTATCGCTATTCTGTTCCATATAATTATTTGTCAAAAGTGTTTGATGGTTATCTAAAAATAAAAATTGCATTGAAAATCAGATATGCACCTATCTAAAAAAATATAATAATATAATCTTTACGCGTATTAGCACTGTCATCCTGGTTTACATCATTCACTGTTAAAACTGTTTGCATGTCCTCAGAAATCAATTCTGTGTCACCTGATAAATAAACAATAATTAATCTTATTTCTTATTAAAGATCTAAATTATAGAGATTAAACAAACTAACCAAAATAAAATGCAGCATCATCAAACGGATTTTGCAGTGGTTGCACTTGTGGAGCAACCATTGCTAAAATCTGAACATCTTGCTGAGTCAGAATTGATTTATAGGACCCTCCACCAGTAGAAGTTATTTCTTTCTATATAAAAAAAATAATTAGTTAATAGGTACTTGATCAATTATTTTCCAAATATATGGACATATCTACCTTATCTATTGATGCCTTTTTTGGGCCTCTTTTGTTTTTTTCATTATACTGTAGTCGCTAAAATCTAAAAGATTATTAAATAATAGGTATGACTATTATATATCGTGACTTCTTAATATTTGTGATCTCCAAGATAAATAAAAAATTACATTTTCTTTGGCAACATTCTTTTTAGATGGTTTAAGATTTTCATACAAATGTCGTAATTGTTGCCACGTTCTAACACCGCTTACAGCAACAGCGTTAAACTCATTACATACGAAATCCCAAGCCTGTCGTTTCTTCAAAATAATATGGGCGTATTTACTTACTTTTTTATCAATTCCAATAAAGTGTCTTTTCAGACACTGTGTAATTGCATCCGCGTCTCTTCTTATTATCCATTTAAATGATAATTTGTAGTCAATAATAAATAATAAAATTATAATTATAATTTGTAGTCTTCAAATGAAAATTTTAAAATAATCAAATATTTATATTAATTTTGAAATTTAAACTTGTACTCGGTCAACGAAACTGACACTGACAGCACGGCACAGGTCAGTAAAATATTCTCGTTTCTTTCTAGGACGATAGACGAAGCGATTTTCACATAATTTTATTCTTTGAAATGTACTTTTCATCCACAATATTTGTAAAAAAATCTAATAAATCACATTTAAAATTAAAGTATTGTTAGGAGATTATTGTTGAATATAATTTTAAAGCAAATCGAATATAAAATTATTTAAATATTTTCAGATGATGTTGCATAAAACGTATTTAAGTTCAAATATCGTAAAATTGTCAAGAAGAACAAAGTTTTTTTATTAATGTTACCATGACGTAAACTTTTGAGGGCTACTCGGCTAATCAAACCCTCAAATCACTTGAGTGATGTTTCTGTATTTCAGTTAAATTTGAGTGATGCTCAAATTTAGGGGACCTTTAATAAAGTGACAGATTTAAGTTGCGTTTCAGTATTCGGGCGTTTGAGCCTTGCGAAGTAGTTTTGACATTGCTTTTAGCTTGCTCTGTTATGATTCCTTTGTCAGCAGGGACATGGACTTTTTTGAAAATTTGTTTGTAGGTCTCAAACAATTTATCTTGAGTAATTTGTGATTTTAATTGAACCCTTATTGATCCTGGTTGTTCTTTCTTGCCAGGTAAACGTTCAGCATGGACAACATCGCTAGTACGTTGTTTAAGCTTACCTGCTTTCTCTTGGCCAATCACCATAGTATCTTGTCTTTTAAGGTTGCATTAACAATTTCAACACACTTAGCTAGCTTCTGTTGCTCCATATCTTGCATGCGTTGCTCGATGGCTGCTAACCTCGATCCCAAATGATTGCTTTTATTTGTAAGTTTGATGTTTTTCTTTTTAAGTTCAGTAATTGTTTTTTGGCAAGCTTCTAGGTTCTCTATGGCTTCATCGACTTTTTCTGAATGTAACTGAAGTGTCTGATGTATGTCTTTCATTTCCCTTCTTATAGTTTTTTTTGCATTTTTTTCGAAATGTCCTCCAGCAGATTTTTAACGTCAATTTGGTAATAACCAGCAGACGAAGTTACTCGAGGTTCGTCATCGTCATCTTCTGGGACCACGATTGAACGTCTTTTTGGCGATTGATTGTGGAAATCCTGGCACGTCCATTCTAAGCTGTCCGTTGCCCGTAGTGCAGATACCTGCTTGTTGGTGACATGCTGTGCTCAAATGAATCAATTTTTTCACAGCGAATGCACTCCACGCCGGGCCTCGTTTTGGTGATATTCTTATTACGTTGATACACACTGAGCCACATTGACCATATTAGTGGGTACGTAGAAAAAAGAAATTGATCACTTTGTACGTGTTACTCTATTGAGCGCCGATCGATGAATGTAAACATGCCAAAGTTACCAGCCAGACCATCTTAGGTGATACTAGCCACTTTGACTCCAGCGTCTTGGCAGAGTTGAATTGCTGTCCATACAAGGGTACTCCCTTGCTCTCCAGTAAGCGAATTATTAAAGAAATACCCAATTGGTAACTTCTACTAACCATTTATGGACGTTACCAGCAAAATCAAATATTAGTTAGATTCTTCCACACTGTCAGTGTTAACATAATGGCCACAATCAACACGACCATAAAATTTATGTTTATTCGGATCCCATGTTAGAAATAATATTTTTACAAGAAACTATAAATACTAAGTGTTGACTTAATTACAGGTATTACACACATTTCATAAAAGATAGACACAAGTATACAAATGTAGTGGATTAAATTGAATACAAAAATAAGAGATTAATAAATTAAATTAGAATTCAATATTATATAATAATTTAAACCACACATAATTTTATACTGTTATTTTCATAAGTAATAATTTAAAAGTTAAACATAACAATAATAACACATTAATTAATTTTTCAATCAAAATGAGAGAATCAAATGTTGATACCACTTGCTCAAACTGCGAGAGTGTGGCAAACAAACACTTGTAGGTACTTCTTATAAAAACATACGCTTTCGGTGAAAAAAAAATTAAGCGTAAGGGCAAATTTCCTTAATTATTCATGTGCCGGACGGGCGAAACTCTCCGGAGTAAATGTTGTCGAAGATACTTCGCGAGTCGCTCACGTCCTACACCTATAGGTTCCGGGGGGTACTTTCACTGCCGTCTTTGCGGTTACCGCTGAAATATTGTGGACTGAGGTTCAAATCAAAATGCACGATTAATAAATACAAATAGCAAGGTAGTGGCCAGCGGTTCGACTGATTAATTAGTCGCGAAATTTTATAACTATTGACCACGGTTGAACTACGGTTGTTCACTATTGGTTGGTCACCGTATATTTCAAAAAGATTTCTTTAAATTGTACGGTGGTATCAAATATCTATTGGTAGTAGCTGGTTTTCTAACACTACTGACTAGCAGCTATTATCAACTAAACTAGCTGATTTTATCACTTGTGTAACTGCGGATATCAGTTACCACTTTCACTATATGTAACTGCGAATATCAGTTACGACCTTTTTCGGCTAGCTAACACTTTCACTATATGTAACTGCGAATATCAGTTACGACCTTTTTAGGCTAGCTAACACTTTCACTATATGTAACTGCGAATGTCAGTTACGACCTTTTTCGGCTAGCTAACACTTTCACTATGTAACTGCGAATGTCAGTTACGACCTTTTTCGGCTAGCTAACACGTTCACTATTCACTATATACTGCTACTAGTCACTTCAGCTACCACCGGATACCACTCACTTCACTTCACTTGTCACTGGTAGTTCTTCACACTACTACGGGTACTGGGTCCCGAGCCCCTAAGGTAGACTTTAGCAATACTTTACAGTGAGCCGCTTGCCATTTTCCGTTTTGCCTCTTTATTGCATAAACGTTTCACTATACAAATGGCATAAATTGCAATATTTTCTATACAAAACTAATTGCTACACTAAAATGCTATACATCATTAAATCGGTAGTCTGGTACTTTATTAGTATATCATAAAGGTTACTCAAAACATTAACATTGTAAAAAGTTATTAAACGAAATATCCCAAATTTTCATAATATTCGGGTACATTAATTCTTTAATTTTTATATAATTATCAAATGCGTTTAATTATACAGAATATTCCTACACTTCCTTAATCTATAAGCCTTATGCTAATTCAATATCATATTTACAACTCTTTTAGAACATAAAATTATTTTCATTACTTTTGGTATGAACTATTACGCAGTTAATTAAAAAACTTCTAGAGAGTTCTACGATAAGACGCGCTGTGATTGGTCGATTTTTTGGTATATAATAAAAGTTGTTTATATTACTTGTTATCAAAACGACATTCTATACAAATATACTAAGAGTTATAAACATGCTAAACAACTATATTAATACACGTTTTCAGTCAGTTTTATCGGTAATTTCACTATTAATACAAAAAAACAATATTATTTCATCACTTTGTTTCTTAACGTTGTTAGGCCATCGCGAACAATTCAAAATATTTTTTTTTAAAAGAAGGCCTTTAGATTTATCAATTTGGCTTTTTAAAAATACTTCAGATCCTGCACATTGACGAAATTACCTTTCTGAAGATTTTTGATAATATTAGAAAAAGAGAGCAATCTTTCCATCCCGTCTCCGGATTTTTTCATTTAAACTTCTAACTTTTCGCTTTAGCAAATCACATTTCTTTGTGAGAATCTTTATTTTTTCACTTGGTTGCTGAATCTGAAACATAGTAATAAAAATATTAATCAAAGCAGCAGTAGAGTCCAATTGAGACATTAACTAGAAATCTTTCTATATCTGTACTATAATAAAATCGTAGAGGTCGAAAAGTCTGTAGTTATAGGTACATTGAAAAGTTGTTTACAAAAATTAAATAGAATAACAAGAAAAAGAATGGCATAAAAACAGGAATCAATCATTTTAGAAACTTTGACTGTCTGTCTGTCTGTCCTGAAAACTTTGTTACATCATCTCGTGAGAACGACTGAAAGGATTTCAGTGAAACCTGTACTGTTGCATATTTGTTACTCTGCGTCAAATCTGAGGCATGAATAGTTTCATTCGATTGAGTCATTCTTGAGATACAGCTTGACTTCTCCATTGTATGCAATCTTATAAGAAGTCTTATAAAAATTAATGGCTGATGCCACAGAGTACAGTAATACTACATTGTTGCTGAATGATTCTTAAACCGCTAATAGATGGTATCAATCCAATGCTAATAAATACTCCACACGACCCCCGCACCTGTTATCGCTCGCTCCGTCCTTCTTCCGCCAACTGTAATCTTTTAACTCCAAAGAGTTTGAAATTTCCCATGGGACCACCTGCATTAATTGGATGCAGTTATGCGAAAACATTCCAACCCACAAGTCAATTCATTTTTTCTCAAATTGTACTCATTGTGGATTGTAACGTTTTCGCATAACCAATAAAATTCATCCTAACAAACTCAAACGCACCCATACTTTTACACAACGTTTAGAGATAAGCTGCCCTAAAAACAATTTAAGTACATCAAAAGAGATTTTCAATGATATGCTCATCGCTATTGGTGGTCAAAATAAAATAAAAAAAATTATTAATAATCAAACGAACTTACCTTGTGAAGATCGATACCTTGTGATTGTGTAATATGCATCGTTGTTCGGATTACATTAGTATTATGACCAGTAGTAGCGCGACATCACGCTTCACCAATGCCATGAATTTCAGAGCTAAAAAAAAACAAAAACAAAAAACGGAATGTATCCAACGTTCCTGCTTTTAATTCAGGTATTTATTTCTCATTTTTACAGGAATCCTATCTATGAATGGATTCATATTAGGTTGGGGTGGGTTCGTGTAATCCTCGAACGATGCATATCACACAATTACAATCGAACTTCACATACAAGGTAAGTTCGTTTGATAATTAACTGTTTAATACATCGTTCTTCGAATTACAATAGTATTATGACCAGTAGATGTTTAGAATTAAGAAAATGTGAAATAAATTGCCAAATATTCCATTCATCCTATGTGTTTCATTCAAATAAAATAATTTTAATCAACCTTATCCAACTTCCTGTAAGAGCATTAAATAAATATTAAATAAAAATAATAATGTAATAAACCATTACGTTACTTTCCCTACAATTATGAAAAAACTTAACTTTGTAGTTCGAAATTTGAAAAAAATAATCCCCGAGCTCTGTTAAAAAACTCCTTTTTATAAACAATTTGCAAATAATAGAAGTATGACCTAACCTATTTTTCAAGTGGTACCTGTATAAATCCTTGCTCTTAGCGTTAATGGCGAGGCAGCAAGCTTGATGCTATAAACTTCAGGCTCCTCTCCATGCACTACTTAGTGGTCCATCGGTGAAGAGCAACAGCAACATTAACTGGACTGCGAACCTAGAAAGCGCTTTTAATGCTTGCAAAGCAAGCATTGCTAACGCCGCTCTTCTAACTCATCCAGATTCGTCTGCTCCGTTGGCCATAGTAACTGTCGCATCCAACTCCGCTATTGGTTCAGTCTTGCAGCAGAAAGTCCTAGGTCATTGGCAGCCGTCAGGATTCTTTTCGCGCATGATTTCGCCAACACAAGTCAAATACAGTGCATATAATCGTGAACTCTTAGCTATTTACGAATCAGTAAAATATTTTCGACATATGATTGAATTAAAACCATTCTTTATACTGACTGATCATAAGCCGATTATTTCAGCTTTTAAGAAAGCCCGTGACGCTTGCTCTCCGCGGCAATTTAGGTATTTAGTTTTAATAGCCCAATTTACAACGGATATCCGTCACATCACCGGGAAAGAAAATGTTGTCGCGGATGCGTTATCAAGAACGGATGCAATAACACGCTCGCTAGACTCTATTGCCTAAGCAGCTTCTCAGGAAACGGCCTCAGAGTTAGACCTCACGCTTTGCGCCGCCGGAGTAACGGTTGCCGTTCAAATCGCATAAATCTATTTTGGCTTGCATATTTTAAATGTCTTTTGTACATTTAATTAATTGTATTTATTCTTAATTTCTCTTGTTTGGTGCTGTAATATCTGTGTTGCAAACTGTCCTTTGGTAAAAAGAAAACATTATATTCTTGGAAGAGTGAAAGGCGTTTCTATCATTGCCCAGCATAACCTCCCACAACTGGTACTTTTTTTTTTACTTTTTGTAAATTTTTTTCAAGATAATAAACAACCACCGAAGCACACGAAGGCGATATAGACGAAGCTATTCCTCCGCATTACTGTGCGTTGGAATATATACTGTTGAAATAGAATGCGGCGGTGTCGTAAAACCATCCGTGGAGGATGATTCTCCCGATAATGTTTTCTAGCGACGCGGCCGAGTGAAAACTCCGCCTCAGTATAGTAGTCAATTCGCTGATGGCTTCGTCATTCTGCTCATCACCCACGGTGCTAGCCTTCGATTCTGTAGTGAGTGGTGAGGACGCAACCGAAGCGGCTGGTTCACGCCAAGCATTAGAATCGGAAGTTCATGGGCCAGCCTTTACAAGCCATGCTAACGCGAATAATAGTGATTTTAGGGATAACCCTTGGCTTTCGCGAGACCGAATGCGCAGTGTAATGGCTCCAAGGAACCACCGCCCAAGTGTTATCGGTTTTAACAAGCTCCCACACAACGATGGTAAGGAAGCGGCGTGAGCAGCGAAGAACGTTCGTGAGTTGATCAACTCCTCTAGACGCACTAATGAAGGCGAGAAACGGGGAGCCACCTTTCGCGCACCGGCGTCTGTGTCGCCATCTTACGAATTAATGTCCCAACGAGTATGATCTCGTTGTAAACACTAATATCCCAGCGAATATACTGGGATTATCAAGGCGACGTTCAATCGCTATCTCCAACTTATTGAAATTATCAACGGATATTACGGACATCCTCCGTTCCCTAGTGGTATCATGGAATTTGCCCATAAACTCGATTTCTTCAGACGTTCCATGTACCTCAAAAAGCACATGCCCTATCGAAGCCTCATCAGTGATCTCGTAAAAGCCGTTCCACTGAGATGATCTCAGTGGACACAGCTGCTTTTTTCGCTTTGACGTCCGCTCGCATTTTCGGCATCTGATTTTACGTCGCATTTTCGGCATCTGATTTTAGTTCGTGATTTGCAGCTCTCCAACCGACAAACGCGAGGGTCCTTCAATTTGTCGAAAATTGGTAAGTGCATGTACCCGTCATACCTTTTTCCCTGTGATGGATTGTTTGCTGGTCTGTATCTTCCTGCAGTAGATCGAGGTATTACGGGATCACCTGGAGATGATGCGCGTTGCTCCCTATTGGGAGTATTTATCAATCTTTCAGTCACTTCAAATCTGAATGATAGTAAGTCTTTTATGTCTTTTCCTGCTGCTCCCGTGGCTAACAAATCACACCTATATAAGCGCCATGCGTTCACTACAGCCAAATCCATGAAATAGAGTATTACTTTGAGTGTCCATTTGCGTGTTTTTATATAAGTACGGTAGTACTCCATGGACTGATCCAAGACGTCGACTCCACCCATAAACAAATTAACTTTTCACCAGTTTTGGAGCGTCTACATCTATGTAACATTTCTCTTTCTTGTCATAGTGCTGAACTATTTCAATAGCTGTACCACCGGCACAATTGGAAACAGTCAACACTGCCTTGCTGTCCTTCCATTTGACCAAGGCGACATCACCCGAAACTCTTTGATCTATCTCGCCTCTTTTTATTTTGCTGTCTTCTTTTAAGCTCAGTTCCTTTCGATCTGGCACGCGATTAGCCATTATGGTTCCGGTTCCGTGAAAAAAAAAAGCTGCGACAAGGTATCAAGTAGAGGTACGGTCGTAAAATACCTGTCGAAAAAAAATGCAGCTTCCGCGTGGGACACTTCGTATGAGCCGAAGAACAACTGCAGGTCCAAGGCCCAGTGGATGAGCAAGTACAGGGTTATTGTCGTAATGTATCTCAAAATCAACCATCAGCCCTTCACTGGTTGTGACGACAAAATTTTTTAAGCCAACGGGCCGGGGCTTGTTCTTAACCAGCTGCCGAAGATGACATTTTCCTGTGAATGGAATCATTTGCTCATCCACTGAATACCTACCTGGAGCTCGCAATATCTTTTCACAGCCATTTTTAACGGCTGTGAGAATTGGTTGTATTTTCCAGAGAGGATTTCCTACATCTCTTGCTCGCACAGTATCTTTATCAACAACGTGTAAATTATTTCACAAAAGAGAAAATCTGTCTCTTGTCATTGCAGAAGTTATTATATTGATGCTTATATTCCTGCGCCAGTAAATGGCATATCTAGGATAAGAATGAATACCCATCAACAGATGAATTCCATACAACCGTTTAATTTCCTGTTTATTAGTATTTAAAACTTTGCCGGTATGTCTCATGTAATAGAGATTAGTACAGAGAGCCATGTTTTCGAAAAAATCCTCATCATAATATGCACCAAAATATTCGACTGGTGATTGAACTTTGTCCGGTTTAGGATGGCCGGGATAATTATGAGGCTTATCAATATAATCACTTTTTTTCCAAATGCGTCGACGTTGTCCAAACTTCACTTTTAATTGTGTGTTTTGTTTAGGTTTCTTTTTGAATTTCCTACTTTTCTTTTGTTTATTTGTTTTTGATGGACCATCACCTTCATGCTCTTTACGAACTAAACTAGAATAACTCTTTTTTGAGTCTGGTGAGGGAGGAGATTCCTTTTCATGGGCATCATATTCAGTAGCATCTGGTTGTGGACAAAAATCCTCGTCGGCCTCATCAATATCAATATCCGAGCATTTCCCGTTATTAAATAGGTCAAGTACAAGCTCACAATTCAATGGCATACCTAAAAAATATAAAAATAGCCATTTAACCTTAATAAAAACAGTAAATGTAGGCAACTCATTTTTGTGAGGAGGTATAAATAAACCCGAGAGCTCACGTAAGTGAGTTCCTTATTTTGCCACTAATCAAATGGGCCGATACTTTAAGTTAGGTTAAGTCGTTGATACTAATTGATTTATAGATCAATAAAAATGAAAATAACACATGTACATGAACAAATCAATAAAAAAAAACATGTAAATAATACAAATACGACGCTTAGCATCGGGATCGAGAAACACAGCCATTTTGGCCGCACGTGCGACGACACTGACCCCTGAATGCCGCGAAACTATTTTTGATTGGTTATTTGACCAACGCACGATTATGTGGTTCCGGGCGCGTGCGACCAAACAGATTTCCCGCGCTTACATATTTTTAAGAAATATGAACTCACTATCGTTTAAGCCAGGTGCGAAAGGGTTATAGTTTATAGCTTTATATTATACTATGGTATATTATCTATGCGCGGGGATAAGTTTATCTACTGTCGATATTATATCCACCATAGGCCCATGCTCGCAGGGTGGATATAGCTTTGGCATAGGGATAAGACAATTTTATCCCTTGTCAGGGGATATAATCGGGGGATAAAATTTTCATCCCCAGCCCATGCTAGCCCGGTAGGCAATAATTTATCAGAATACGATTTCTCATCATCTGAGAAACAGTTGAGGCATATGTGTTTTCTGGTATCACCTATAATACAGGCGATATGAGCCCATCCTTTGCATAAAACACATTGTATTCAGTCATGTCCAGATGTGTCTTCATTATAAGACTCAGCACAAACTAAACAGAAGTAGGTTTCTTTTTCACTAACATCCTGCAGAATATGCTTCTTAACCTTTTCTACTTCTACTTTCCGCGTTTCTTTACCTTTACTTTTCCTTTGCCTTTACCCTTACTTTTCCTTTGCCTTTATCCTTATTTTTAGTTTCAGTCAGACTAGTTTTTGTCTTTTTTTGATGATTTTAATTTTGCTTCCTCCTCTAAGGCCAATTTTTCAGGGTATCAGTGAGAATCGTCGATTTCCTTGAACGCTTCCGTTTGGATTCGACACGAGGAGGTGCTTTTGGAAACGGTCTTATTGTTTCTACATTAAAATTTTCTGTAGGCTTTGTATTTGACGGTCCTGGTTCATTTGACGGTCGCTGCTTATTTGATGGTACGTGTGATAGTTGATCAATAACCTCTGAAATACTTATGTCAATATCAAGCATGTTATCTATAATTTCATTTTGGATTGCAGAGTCTAAATTTAGTGATACTTTTTCTGGGTTGACAGAACTATCTCCAGGCTGAAGTGATCCCTGGTTACCCATCGAAGCAGTATTTGGATCGGGACGATCAGTAACAAATGATGGTGCAAAGTCGCTGTCTTGAAAGACATCTTCATTGCACGGCCAAATCCCAGCTTTTTTATATGAGTTGATGATATTGTTTTGAGTGAATGCCAGTGAAAATCCTTCTTTTACAATTCCAGGGAGATCATAGTTCGTCATGGTCTTCCCAGGATGATTAATCATCTAGTTCGTTTGCTGCCAGCTAATATAATTTTTAAACGGTCCATACACACCAACATCTAGAGATTGAAGATTATGGGAACAATGTGGAGCGAAAGACAAAAGAATGATGTGGGTTTTTTTGCCTTGGTGATGACCTCCACATTCACATGAGAATGATGATTATCTAATAGCAATAAAACTGGCTCATGCTCTGATGTTTTAACATGTTTTAGAAAGTGGTCAATTAATATTGAAAATTCTTTTTCAGTCATCAATCCGGAACTATTTCCTACGCCTATAGACCCGGGCGGCCCATTTTGGACGAATAAACCACTATATCTGATCCGTGGAAAAACGAACATACATGGTATGAAATTACCCATAGCATTTGTCGCTGCTGCAATTGTGACGAGAGTACCCCGTTCTGCAGATGTGACTGCACCTACTTGCTTGGAACCTCGTTGAGCTACCACTTTCTTGGGTTTTTGCACCGTTGTGACTCCAGTCTCATCTACGTTCCAGATTCTACTCGGTGAAAAATTGTATCATTGAACCACTTCTTGATATTTTTGGAAAAATGAATGAACATTAGTACGGTTGAAGGATGTTGCTCTGCTTAAGCTGGTCGCCTCAGGACTCCCAATAGACAAGAATGCGGTGCGCTTCATTAAACCAGCAAACCAATCTTTGCCAGCCTTTCCGTCTCTTTTCCAAGATTCTGGAATATTATCTATCTTGTATCGAATGGCAAGCTCGTAAGCTAATTTTTGACATTGTCTAGTACCAATCCAAAATAAATATTAGTTCATTTTACTAAATAATCAGCTATAATTTTTTCTTGCTCAGAATTGAAAAATAGACAGTTTGTTTTATAACCCACTTCAACAGAAGTTCCCTCCTTTTTTTTCTTAACCTATTTAAACAGTGTTACATGACAAATATTGTATTTAGTAGCAACATCTCTATATTACTTGTTTTTTACCAGAACTTCTTCAGCTGCCAGCTCAAATACTTCGAGACGTAGACCCCCTTGTACTCTTCCTTTTGTAATTTCTCATTCTATAAAAAAACATACTTATTGCAAAAAAAAAACACTCGTTTAATATCACATACCTACATATGGGGTAAGTATTAACATGTTAATACTGACCCCACTCAATTTGTTAATTTCAGCCCCAAGATCACTTTTTATATTTCATCAATTACAGAAAATAAATTAGTCAAAATAATTACAAACAAGTATAATAGTTTAAAATACAATTCCATTTAGGATAAACTTTGTTTAAATTTAGCGAAAAAATAAATCAAATCAATTTATTACGAAGTACAAAAAGTTTGTTTACCTGTCAATTCGAGGTTATTACGCACAACTATCACTAGCAAAGAATATAGTACTCTCTAACCGAGAGAAGAACGACGTCTTCATAGTAAAAAAAATCAACCATAGATTTATTCATTGCGCCACTGTGAATGAGCACCAGATGAAAAATACGGGAGGGAATATTCAAATTTGCCATGAACTATTGTTGCTTTGATTACTAAGTATAATTCTCTACACTGTCATTAATGGGGTTATAGAGTTTAATTTAACCTTTAGATTCTTCATGTATTAATATGACTACCTATCAGTTTGTTTCGCTTTGAATAAATAAATCAAATAAGTATTTCTGATTTCAGGAATCTTTTTTGTGCATTTTATATTCCTCACAATTTGGTTTATTAATATCTGAGGCACACACACAGGCAACATAATAAATTACATGAAGAAAATTAACCCATTACCCCAAAAATTATGCACATAGAGAATATTTACTTAACAAACCAAGTAAATGCAAACCGAAATGTATAAGATAAATGCCAACGAAACAGCCAGAGTATATATTTTATCAAATCAAATCAAATCATTTATTTCTGTTAATGGATTTTACAAAACACTTTAACATGTCAATACTTTTAAAAACCAGATGAAGCCGGTATTTCCTATCTGACTACCTTGAGAAGAATCAGCTGGCTACTTTTGTCGGTCTTCATTTAACTCAACAGTAACTTAGGAGTTCAACAATCCAACGAACATGCCATCAGAAAGGACATTTGGGTAGGCCGCTGATAATACTCAAACTGTCAGACGAAGGTAACATCTACAACAAAACTAAATAAAACCCACATTGTTCACCCATTCACAATAAGAAAATAAATAAAAATAATACATCTACTTGAAACAATAGGTAGTCATGTCAGTATGTAAAAAATAAAACATTAAATGTCAAAAAAAGGAAAGAAATGAATAATTACATATCATCACTTAGTATACAACACTTTGTTAAAAGGAAAAATAAGTAACTTAAATAATAGTAACAGCCTATGTCAAATCAATTACTTTTCTAACATTTTGTAGTATATTCGTGTAATATGATCATATTAGGTCAATGCATTGTCAGGGGAAAAGAAAAAAAATTATAATTAAAAATGAATCAGCAAAATTTGAATAGTGGAAAGTGAATTGCCAGACAACAGGAAACAAGCTTACTAGAATGCAAACCATACATTAACGATTACATAAACTCATATACAAAAAAATGTGGAATCAGATTATTCCCAAGCCTTTTTATCTTCTAAGTAAGAGTAGTATCAATTATTTATTTCTTAATATTTGAATTTTTCTTTCCAAAGATTTCTTTTTTTCTCCCTCCTCCATTTGTCGGTTTGTTAATATTGTATACCGCTTTATCACAATACAAAATGTGCTCATTTTAATATGGTTTTTGTTTTCATCTGCATGAATCCCACATTTATTTAAGAAACTGTAATCTAAGCATTCTAAAAGTATCATTATGTTTTTTTTGATATCACTTACAAAACCATCTTCTTCGAGATAATTATTAGTAATTGTCGCAATACTTTCGACACATATTACAATATCCTTATTTATATAATTTAAGGTATTTTGAGAAGCATTATACTCTCTAAAACTTGTGAACACGTGTATGGCTTCAGGGTCATTTGTTAAAAATAACTTTCGGCAATTTTCACAGTCACTGTTTCTGAGTTTTTTTTTTAAATAAAGCCACACACATATGTACAAGGTTGTGCTTCTGGCGTCGCCTGTTCGACTGCTTCAACTGCATCAGCTAAAATGACTTCCAGGTCTATATTAGCAGAATTTTCTGCAGTCAGATTTTCAATACCAGCATGTTGCTGTTGTTGAAAATCTGCCGTTAAAAACGTTGAAAGATTATTTTCTAAAATGGGATACTGCCATCTTCACAATTTTTTTTCACCTGCATGCCGTAAATTGGTTATAATAGCTGTTTTAACCCCTGCCACAAATTGTTCTACTGTGGGATTATAATTGGACCCACAGTTATATCTGATGCAACCGAAACAGTTTTCTAACGGATCTTGATTCAGGCGACGCGTGAAAAGGCTCTTAATGTTTTTAGCTTGTAAATTGTTCCACAACTTTTCTATGGCATTCAAAGTGTGTATCCATCCTTCTTGAGAAGGAGGATTTGTTTTGCTCCCCAGGTATTTCATAGTAGAAATAAAACTTCTCATTTCATTGAAAAGGGCTATATGTGGGCTCTGTGAAGTCAAGTTTGTGGAATGCCTTTTTCCTCTACGCAGGTCAGGGCTATCTGCATTGACAGCATCAAACAGCTCGTCGAATTTTGAAACAAAACTTGCAGTTGCATGTGCTTCATTTGGAAGTTCATCTGCAAAGAAATTGCTTCTTAAGAAACATACTAATCACTATGTACACATATATATGTACACAGTTATTAGTAAAAAAAACATAATACATGTTTCATAATTATGAATATTACACAATAATTACAGACAGTCATAGCTTTTCTTTATAACTTTTTTGTTTTTAATGAAACAATACATTTAAAAAGAAATACCCAAAATGGTTCAGCCATTCTCAAGTAATGTACTTACCAAGAACAAAATGTTTATTTTTATAATATAGATTAAATTCGTTAACTCACTTTTTGCTATTTTTGCTAATAAACAAGCTGCAACGGAGTGGATAAACACTTGTGCTGCAAACTTTACTCTCATCTGTTGCTTGACGTTAGGATGAATGTGTTGGTCTGTTAGTGCAGGCGCATAAACGAAGTTTGGGTTATTTTTGTTCAGATTATAAAAAAATTTCAATGTGACTCCATTTCACTATGCCTAAAACAAACAAAAAGACATTTAAATGACACATGATCTACTAATAATAAAGATCGATTCAGTGTAGATAAATACACAATGTCTATGAGTAATCGCTTTTTTTTATAAAAAGAGTCGGCAAAGCTCTTTAAAAAAATACAGTCCTGTTTTGGTAATTTTATATACCAGTCATAAAATATGCCCTTTATGGACATTAAATAAGTTTTTATTACCTTTGATAATCTGGTCACTGCACTGAAAATCAGTTGTGCACTCAACATCATGTTTCATTAACAGATTTTTAGTACATTTCAGCAAATGTAGAGGATCCAAAATTGCCACAATTTCCCGTCAATTAAGTGAAAAATATGATTATCTAGTTGTTGCTCCTAGGGTTCTGCGAACTTATACATTGACTGTTGAGAGGTCACACACAGTAGCAATAACATTAATCCCCGAATTGAAGCATTCTATAAGTATCTGAAATTAATTGTAGGATGCATTAGAATAATGAATACAATCTTTCATCAAGGAAACATTTCATGGAGACAATATTTACCTCTTCTAATTTACAATTATAATGCAAATGTTTCCTTATGGACATTTCATCGAATAACAGTATAGAAATATTATCTTCATCCGTTTGCTTCTGTGTCATT